AAAAAGGAATTTTTATTTTAAAAAAAGGGAAAAAGGGGGCAAGAAAATATTGTGATGCTAATTTTGAAACGATATTTTTCAAAGGATATTTTTCTTTTTGGCAGCTGTTGAAAAGTTTATTTTAACTTTTAAGTAGAAGGTAGACCTGGCAAATGGGTCGGATTGGGTGAGTTTGGATTAAGTCGTCTTGGATTTTGGGTTTTTTGAATTGAGTCATTTCAGGTGTTGGATTGAAGAGGTAGACCCATGACCTATCCACACAGGTTTTGTATTAGGTTGGGTGAACCAAACTTTTAATAAATTAAAATTAAAATTAAAATTTTTAAATATTTTTTTTATTTTTTTAATAAAGTCTAATACTAATTAACTATTTAGTGAGAAAACTTTATTAAATGCTAATTTTTATTTTATGATTCAATTTTCATTCTAATCTCAAAAAAAGAAAATGGAAAGATTACTAATTATATAAGTGGAACTAAAACATATGTAAAAAATATAATGCCTGTACAATATTTAGAATTTATAATTTCATAAAAGTATTAACTTTCATTAAAAGAAGAGGCATGAACCTTCATTAAAAGAAAATACATGAACCTTCATTAAAAGAAAATACATGAAGGATTAGAGTTCAAAAGACAAATCCAATATGTATGTTAATATCTAGTCTTTATTTAATATTTATAAAGTATTATACAAAAAATACAATTCTATTTAATATTTTGAAAGGCATTATACAAAAAGTATAGCTTTATTTAATATTAAAGTTTAAAAGGTAAATTTAAAATATGTCTAAACAAATACAAGAAGAAATTGGATCGAGATTGATTTTTATTAATTAAGAACAAATTAGTAATTTAGAATAAATTAGCAACTAAGATCAAACTTTGATGTTTTTTATGTTTTTGTTATTGTGCTTCTAATGATGATGAGAGTTCTTCAACCACTGGCTTTTGACTTTTAGTAGGTATTCTTACTTCTTTTTTTTTTTTTGAAATTTTTTTTTTGATAATATTATATGACACAACTCATTATGTGCCACATAATTTGATTATTGACACAAGTACCACCAAGGAGAAGGATTAAAGAGCTTGAGATGAAGAAGGGAAGAGTAGAGGTGGAGAGGAGGAAAAGTTGAGAGAAAGAGAGATTGAAAGGAGATTAGAGTTTAGATATTTTACTTATTTTTACTTTTAATATTAAGAAATTAGAAATTTAAAATTATTTTTTAAATAATCTAATGAAAAATAAATAAATAAAAATTTGGGCCATTTCAGGTGATCCGACCCACCTATGACCTAACTTATTTGAGTTCAAATAATTTCTGTTTGGATCATTTCAAATTTCGAATTGACACATAAAACTCATTACCCGACCTATAACGGATGGATTGGATCAGATTTTAAAATTAAATCCAATTTTGCTAAGCCTAGTAGAAGGAGACTAGGGCTCGTGGGCTGCGCTAATTTAAGGCTTGCATCCTAGTCCTCGTGAGGAGCTACGCTGAATTTATAAATTACCTCAAAAGGATATGAAAATCCCTAATAATATAAAATATCAATTGATTTTTTTTATTTTACTTATATATTGAGAGATAAACATCTTTCATCCTTTATTCCATTCAATCCATATATCATGTGATTTGAACTCGAAATCTCTCATTTCTAGAGAAAGAAAATGACCATTGAATTGTTTAGGTTATTGACAATTGATTTTTAATTATTTATAATTTAAATAATTTAATGATAATTTTT